AGTTTCTTCTTGTTATCTGCATCTAAATATATGTTGAATTAGGCCTATACTTTTGCATCCCAGCATTACTTTGAGTTCACTCTTTCCAACTTTTCTTCTTCTCTTGATTGATCCATATTTGAATCTGGATCACCATCATGAGCTGTCAAGCCCAGACTCAAGTCCAATGTGCTTTCATTCAGATCTTGTCGTACAATTTTATTACCATCCTGGGAGAGAATCAAAGTTCAAGTGAATGTTAGATCCAATCTTTCAGATAAATTACATAAAAATTATCTAGAGAAGGTATGAAGTTTGGTGGTGTCAATCTTTGCAGGCTAACCAACAGAAAATGTATATTTTTCAATAAGCATTCTAAAATAAAGACTTTCTCTCACTAATAAACCTACCATTATCTAAGTGGGAAACCTGTAAGAAATCCTAGAGACTTAATATAGCCAAAATTAGTTCTAGCAAGAGATTGCAAGTGCCTTATCTGTTAACTTAGTAGCAGAGAAAGCCTCTGCTAAATTTATCATAATAGAAAGAATCATTCCTTCAACAACCCAAAGCAGGAATCATTGCACTCAATATCAAGAGCGAGATCAGACAAAGACATAGAGAACCACAAAGACAGCAAGCTATTCACCTGATTTTCTTCCATAGGGAGATCATTAATGTCAGGTTTTTCATCAAAACCATTACTCTTGGCAGCTGGCTCTGCTAAACTAGGGTCAGTATCACCTGGCTCAGATTCATCCTCAGCCTTCTCTGCAGCTTCCCTTTTCTGTTCCTCTAACAGAGCAATCTGCATTCCAAACTGCTAAAATGATTATCTATTCACAAATAAAAGTAAGACCAAATAGAAAGCACAATCACCCTATTTTAAGAAGTATATAAGAGTCAAGTTTGCTGGAACACAAAGCATCGGTTGCCAAAATTAAGTTCAAGGTTATCTATTCCAAAACTAAACTAAAATTAAGAGACCAACTAAAAGTGTCTTTTCCAAAAATTACAATAACAAAATCCAGAATGCTAACCCTGACTTTAGTTTGAAAAAACAAAAGGCAACATGAACCTCAAAATGAATATCATATTCCAAAGTTGTCCTGGATTTACCCACCCTGTTCACCAACAGAGATAATTGGATGAAACAAAATATCACCAAAAGCTATTAATCTGCTAATTGATATAGGCAGATATACATACCCCACCCCCCACCCCCAAACCAAGCTTGCCTAGAGTGATGTATCATACAGTTCCTGCCAATATCAAGTGAATACTGAATTTAAGTTCAATGTATCGCAAATATGAACAATGAATAAACGCTAACATAAAAATTTAGTGGTCATACATTCCAATACCACATCCACTATCACTCAAATAAATTCAGAAAGAGAAATCATATGCGCTTTAAGTTATTACAAAGTTGTGTCAAACCAGAGCACTCAGGCATTGATGCATTATGTTGATTGACTCAAATTCTAAATGGTTCAGAGTCAAAGTATGCATCCAGAACCAAATGCAGTTTTACCCAATGGATAGTGGATATAGTTGCAATCCTGCTGCATTTCTTTCTACCACAAGATTCGTATAGTTTTCTGACAATTTGGACTAACCAGTCTGGAGACATCATTAGTTGACATAAACAGGGTCTAAAAAGACTCCAAAGCTTCTATTTCAATTTCTAACAGTAGGAGTTATAAACAGATCATCTACCAACCTGCATCTATATGTCAGCATCTCAGCATAGCACCTCAATCAATCTTTGAGAAAATGTTAGACAGTTGCACGGTATCTCATCTTGACCAAGCCCATAAATTTGCAATTTCTCAACATGTTCATGACTTCGTTAACTCTCAAAGATAAGGTGAAGGATATCAAACACCCAGATGAGGATTTCTCTCTTCCTATAGTTTCAATTGTCTCAACTCTCAAGAATCCCCCCTCCCCCAAATCGTTTTATTTCTTTTCCTCAAAACTGAATTGAGACACACAAGAATACTCCTATCTCTTGAATCAAACAGTCCACCCAACCGTAAGACAGTACCAACCCCAGAATCGAGACCACAAAATCAACTGATTCAATTTGCATCAAGTAATTATCAAGTAATAAATTCAACATACAAACCAATAACAATTATTCCATCAAAATATCATCCTAGATCATGCCAAGGCCGACCAAGAAACGGACTGCACCATGGAAACATAAACTGCAGTTCTGCATTTGAAACGAACGCAAAAAAATTGGGAAAAAAACAGAACTCAGAAAATGAATTCACAAGAAAGTTACCGGCATATATCTGAATTTACGTCTTGGTGGCTCCTCAGGCGCCACCACCGCATCCTCCTTGACAGAATTCTTGTCCCTACTGTCCCCATTGTTGCCGTTTTGGCTCTGAGATATCGGGGTCCACTTGTAAAGCAAAAGATGCGAACCGTTATTACTGTTAGACGTACCATTGATGCTGCTTTGTTGATTTTGAGAGTGATTGCTGCTGCTGCTGTTGTTGTTAGATGGCGAAACATGGACCCATTTCTTCTTCCACCTGCGCACCGGCCCAGTGAACACCGTGGTCGGTCCGTACCGAGTGGAGGACCGCCCGAGTCGAGCCCCCACCCCTTCCATTAACTCAGTGGCGCTGGATCGATGACGATTCGGCCGTGACTCGCTCTGGTATTTCCTTTCTTTGTTTTTCTCAGATCTTTCTTTTTCTCTTTTTTATTTTTCTTTCGTTTATATTATGGAGACGTGTATGTCTCGTTCTTTTTATGGGCTTTCCCGGAACTGGAGTCGGGTTCGGGTTGGACTAAGCAGTCTGCAGCCGTTGAAAGTGTTGACTGATATTCCGGTTTGGAAATTTCGTGAGCTCTTTTATGTTGATGCTGATTGTAATGATTGGATTGTCCCTTATGTTGGGAATTGAGAATTTGGATTGGCCAAAGGGTCGGATCCTGCCTTTTTAAGGAAAAGCATGTATTTTGAATCATATTTTGCTTACCGTAGATATAGAAATTTTGGCCATTTTAGAGAATTATAACTTTATATATTCCATCAAAATAGAACTACATTGATGTAAAAAAAAAATATATATATATATATAAGAAAAAAACTACATAAGATGTTGAAACTTAAATATTTTAACAAAAAATAAAATAATATATTTTACTATGAAATTATGAATATAAAAACTCTATAAATTAGAAGTGCTTTTTTATTGTGTAATTTATGAATTTTAATATGCACCATTGATATATGATTAATTGGTGATTATTATTTTTCAATGGTAAAAAAGTGGTGAATAAATATGTGCATTTAATTGATTATATTATTAAGTTATTTGGTAAAACAGATGAAAATTTTGAAAATCCAAGTAACAAGGTTATAGAAGAGAATTAGCCAAACTGGTCCCTGCAAAATTTTGGTAAAAAGTGGACATGAAATTTGAGTCAATTTATTTTGGAAATGTAAGTTAAAATTTTAAGCTTGTATGATGGAAAATCCATTTGTGGGGATAAATGGGAGATGAGTTAATGTGCTTTTATAAAAATCTTGTGAGAAAAATGAGTTTTTTTTATGGACCCAATTATTTGAGAAATGTGAGAATCACATATTTGAGATACTCCTAATATGGGAGATTGTGATGTTCTTATATATTATTATTGGTGATGATACTAATGATACTTAATTGAAATTTTATATAACATTCCTATTATACAATAAGATATAATAGTGCTTAACAAAGCAAATATGATATGCACTTCTATTATATAATCATGGTATAATAGTGCATAATGAAAAAAAATAAGACACTTTACTTGAATAGAAGAGATATGCTATCATGAACATTCCTATTGTAAAATAAGATACAATGGTGTTTGAGTTTAAATACATGTTTCTACATGTATAGAAAAAACAAAAAAGGTGGTTCACTAACTTGATTTGATATCCAAAATTGTAATACCATGAATTGAGAAATTGAAAAATATGAATGTGAATTTTATGAGTTAATAGACATGTGGGATGATGTGAAAAGAAAAAAGTGAGAAAAAGAATGAGTTAATTCTCTTCATTACCCACTAAACCACCAACTAGTCCTTCGGTAAAGAGAAATGTTAGAGGAAAATCTATGATTATAATCCAAGGTTTAGTACTCATCGTGAGAAATGTGATTCAAGCTCAATAATGTAGAATTTCCTACGAGGATACCCAACACGAATTCTAAGAATTAGGTTGCAAATGAGAAAAATGAATCACAGAGAAGTCGTTGTTGAAAGATGTATCAATATTTTATGGAAAAAATTTTCAATGCCATTTCTAAGGTGAGGATGCATTTATCCCATAATGAATTGAGGGTTGAGTTATATACTCTTAATAAAATTTGTAACTCATAAAATGGGGTGTTTTAGTTATGGGAGCATGCTTGACAAACTTCACTTATGAGGGTGTTGAAGTGAGCTGTTTCTATGAAAATTGGATGGACAATTTTATAAATCACCCATGAAAACTGAGATCATGCGCAAGGCCATAATGCGCTAGCGATGTGAAAAACCCAACATTTGAATCATTATGTGTGTAATATGATTTTTGTATCTTCCAATAGAGTCATAGTTCAAAACTTAATTCACTATTGACTTTGAATTAAGAATTATTGAGTCACTGAGTAAAAGTTCAAGGTTTAACTACCTTTATCATGCATAATAATCCATCTTTGTCCACAAGTAAGGTTAACTTTTTTATTAAAATAGTATGGGAATTGTTAGAACTTAAATATTTTAATATAAAATAGAATAATATATTTTATAAATTGAATTTATTGTTTCATCAAAGACTTGGTCAAATTAACCATTGTAAGTTAATTATCCTACTTAAAAACACATTATTTCATAATAATTGCCTAATTTATTTTTATCATTAACCTATAAATGAAAGTTACATAACCATGAGTTCTATAAATAAAACATGTCTTTTGCTCAACAAAACAGAAGTTCCTCCACATTCTTCTATTTTCTTACCTTACTCTATCTTCAAAATATTTTTAGGTAAATAAATATGTTTTGAGTTAGGTAACTCTATAGGTAATGCAAATTCATAAAGTGTTATTATAAAAAAGTTATAGTATTACGGGGACGACATGCTATCTGTACTTCTGCTGCATTGGTAGATCTATTATTCGCAGAGCCGTGAATCGCCTCAAAGTAAGTAAGTGTTCACGCTATTTTGATGATAATTCTTATTAATATTTTCTGATAAGTTTACTAATTATTATTTTATTTGATTTTATGACCGAGATACAATAATGACATGATGTGGAAATGGAGAAGAATGTTCAAGAAACAACATAAGGTGGCAAGAGCATCCTCAACAATTAATGAATACAAAATAACACTGAAGGCCATGAGCCCAGTAATATAGCTATTTGCCTTTATTATTATTATTATTATTATTAATTTATTATTAGAATATCTCAAATTAATTTTTGTATATCTCAAAACCAATTATTTTTAAATGATCTTAAAAGCACACCTTCTTATATTGGTCTCTGATATATTTTAAAAAAATTAATTTCTTTAAATACTAGCTTTAAAACTTAAATAAACTTGAATCATGTAGTTAATTTAGAAAATAATATTTACTTACCAATGGATCAACCTTTAGAGATACTAGCATTTGCTTTAAGAGAGAAATGAAACCACTCAATCCATCTGTCAATAACTTACATAGCTTATAACATTCTTGTTCTAAAAAAAAAAAAGGAAAAAAGAAAAAAGAAAAAAGAAAAAAGAAGGAGATTTTGAGTTTTGTTCACATATTATTCAACTAAGATGAATTAACATATGAGATGATGAGATGATTATGTTTGTATTGTGCAACTTACAATTAAAAGAAAAAAAGTCTAATAAATAGACCTATACATTTGTGCTTTATAAAATAATATGAACTTTTGAATTTTATGTTATGAATTTGAATGGGTTAAAGATGTAGCATTTATTATTAACATATTACCAAAGTAGTAGTGTTTTTCTCTTATAGCTTATTTAATTTGAAAGAAACAAAGGGAAGCATATGGAAGAAAGGGAGCGGAAATGATTTTATTTTAATTAAAAAATTAAATTATTAGACCAATAAAACAATTTAATAAACTATAATAAATATTCCTTTATTTCCTTTAAACCAAACATGCTATTAGAAAGTAAAGAATGAGCCCAAAACTAGGTGGTTCATCTCCCATTAATGCAACTTTTCTCTCTCTTTTTTTTTTTGGATTTTGAGTGACGATGTGTGTGTATAAGAAAATATATATTGCCTCTTACTCTATATTAATATATATATAGTTTATATATATAAAAAAAAGCCCATTAATTCATATAAACAAGCCTAGGACCAGAGCTAACCCATTAGGATGCAGAAGAAACAGTGTCGTATCTCTATCAAGGTTTGGCAAAACCTTGTGCTTGTGTGGGCTTTACCTGTGTTTGCAACATCACTAGCCTTTTCTCCCTTCTGAGCCTTCTTCGGGTGTTGGATTTCTCCAAGCTTCTTTTAAAATATCAATGGAAGCTCAAACCTTTTTGTCAGATTCAACAATCCCATCAACAAAAATATCTAACAAATCATTTTTTTATGGCTCTAGAACCTCGTCCACTCTCTTTGAGAGCCCAGCACTACGTGTCTTCACAAAGGGTACCCTCCAAATTTGGATTAGTGTGCAAAAACAATAGTGAAAGAGTAAAAGACAGCCTAGTCGTGGGGGAGGAAAATTCAAAGGCTGTAGTTAAACGAAAACAACTAGCAGTTTTCGTATCCGGGGGAGGCTAAAATTTTTGGTTGATTTATGAAGCATGCCTTGGGGGATCTGTCAATGGGGAGGATTTTGTTTTGGTCACCAATAAAGAAGGTGAGTCCTACCCCTTTTAGTGTGTTTAAAGTGACATTAAGTCTAGACCTTGGATTTTATAAATTGATCATGTTCTTAAATGGATTAGCGTTTTGAGTTTAAATTGGGTATTTCTAGTTGTGTGTGCTTGTATTAATTATTTAGAATTGCTTATGTTGAGATGGTGAATTAAGAGGTTTCTTAGCAAATTCTAGAAGAAGAAGTGGAAGGAAAAAACAAATAATGGGAAAAAAATGACAGCTAATCTGGCTGATATTGTCATGGACATTCAAATTTTGGGGCAAGAGGATACTTAGTTTATTTTAACTAAATCAATGCCAAAAGGTTAACGCATTGTTTAATCATAATTATAAGTATGACCTCATTGGCTAAACTTCTCTTTTAAGGTTTTATCATGCCTTTGATTACTACCAAGTGACAATATTTTATCATTTTATTCATTGCTTTATCTTTGAATTTTTGTGTAAACCTTTCCTCTCCCCCCTCAAAGATAGGAATTTATATATGTGCAAGTGAACATTGATGAGAGTTGGCAAAATTATGGAAGTTATATTGTGCTTTTGAAGTGCAATAGACTAACCTTGAAAAGACAACATTGATATATACTTTATCGAACTAATTGTCTTTCTTTTACCAGACCAATAATATTTGGATTTTGTGTTTACAACTCTGAGAATAAATTTAGAATCTTTAATCAGTGGCGGCTACATCCCACAAATTTGGGGGAAAGCAACAATTGGAAACTTTAACATCTAAAATAGGGGCTACTAGTTTATACCTTATGAAAGTGAGAAATGAAGTTAATAGATATTTTATTGTAGATTTTGGAATCATATTCATTCCTTTCCTCCTTACTGCAGGTTGTTGGGGTGCAGAGTGTGCAAGAAATATAAGCATCCCAGTTATTTTATTCCCTACAACAAGAGAAGAACCTGATGGTCTATCTCCAAAAGACCTTGTAACTTTTCTTGGGTTAGCCTATTCTTTCAAAATTAATCACTATAGTTTCCCTCTCTTTCTTTAGGTTTTTACTTTACATTTGTGAATGGTGCATCAATTTTGTACCTGGATTGCCAATTTGGTATATCTATGTGTATCATGAGTGAAAAGGATCCAATAGCATTCCTACCCTCAACTTGACACTCTGGCACTAAGAAAACAGGAATTTATGTTTAAAGGCATAGCAAGAGGTCTTTCAGTGGTTAAGTATCCCTTGTCATCCTATGCTTGTCAATCAAAGGAAGTTTTTCTTTTTGTTTTTAGAGCCATTGGGAAGGAAGTTTACTAGCCTAAATAGATATGATGATTCAAGTTACTCACTTTAGGTTTTTGCCAATCCTAAGTTTAGGTCTAAATGTCTTTTCCCATCTTGCCCCTATGGTCTTTATCCTGCTCACCAATGGCATATGCCTTAAACTAAGAGTTATGGATTGGACTTCTAAAGGAAAATAGAGTACCAAAAGATTGTGAAGTGCAAGACCTCCAGATTTGTTGTGATGGCTGACTGATGATAAACCTTTTATCCATTAGCTACACCTAGATGTTCTCTAGACTAGAAAGCATTCTAATGAATATAATAATTATTAAACCCAATATGGTCAAAAAAGAACTCTAGATGCCTATAAAGACCCAAGTCAAAGTTTCTCTGCAATTTCTATTGCTTAAACAATTTAATAATGTTAAGACATATATGGCAACTACTTACTTCTAATGTGTTATCAGTGTTGTCAAAAGCATAAAGCGCCTTAAATCACCAGCCCTTCAAAAGGCTTAAGTGGTGAAGCGAGCGCTTCACCAAAGTGAAGTGAACAATACAAAAAAATGATTATGTAATACCTTAAACCTTTTCAAGATGTACTCAAAACATGATATATTAATAAAACAGATTTTGAAGTTCATAACATCAATTGTTAGAACAGAAAATTAGCAGTACGTGCATGCATAACCGTCAAGAAATTAAAACACTGTAGAAAGTTAGAAACAACATAATATCATTCTAAAATCTAAGATAAATCATCCGCATCTACATCATCGTCATGAACTGCATTCATCTCATCATCATCACTGCTATCATCTCCATCACTTGAGTGATAATCCTCCACCTCTTCCTTTGATTCAGCCTCTTCATCTTCAATTTCTTATACAATTGCTTTTCCTTTAGAACTTGAAGATTTTCTTGTTGATTTTCTACCACAAATTCTTCTAGTATATATTCTAGGCTTTTCAACACCAGGAGCTCTAGCTACCTCTCCCCAAGTCAAGTGATCATCACCAAACACAAGTTCATTTTCAGCATCATCTTGGTCACCACCCATTTTTCCAATCAACCATTCATTACTATCATCAATATGGTCAAGGAAGATTGGATCAATCTCATCCTTACTATTATATCAAGCTTTAAGAGCTTGATTATACTTAACAAATACAAGATCCTGCATTTTCTTATGCTCAAGTTTGTTTATTTTCTTGCTATGAATCTGTCCAATTACAATAGATTATGGAATTACTTTACATGGTAAAGACAATGGGTAATAAGTTACTTTACATGCTAAGTTTATTAACCTTAATTGACTTTTATAGAAACCAAGAATCAAATATGAGTTACTATATACTTAAGAAATCAAGTCTACTGAATAGCTGCTAGTTAGGAACAGAAAATAAGAGCTAACCTCACTGCAAATAGCCTATTTGTTCCTACTGCATAGATAAGATTTGTTTCTGCTCTATTGCACTTACTACATCAAGTATCTAAGTCGATTATTAAAGTAGGATTTCAAACCCACACGATAATGTAGACCAATTGCACAAAAACAACATGATGGTAAAACTCTTGATAAATCTTCAGGGAGTTTCTTGTTAATTATTATTATTATTATTTTTTTTGCCACCATAATAAAACTTCATTGATAACTAAAATGTCACTTACATTACAAGAATTGAAAAAAAAAAAAAAAACACAGCAAAAGAAGAATGATCTCAAGCTTTCAAGCACTAGGTTATGTGGCACCAAAGTACCTTTTAATTGGCATGTCGATAGACACTAAATTGGTTATTAGTTCCTTACATGTCTATTACTTTACTCTATTTTTTTTCTGCCTGCTTCTGGATAACATGATTGTTGTTCTGGATCTACGATGACTTCTCAGTTATAATTACTCTACTCTATATTTGTCATTTTTTTACTTTCCTTATCACTTTATTCTTCTAAATTAACTTAACTCTGTGCATTTTCTATCACTAGGGATACAATAGTCTAAAATTTGCTTCCTTTTCATTTTGAGTCAGAAATTGAATATCCTAATAGAATGAAATTACATGTGAATTAATGTTATAATGATAGAACCATTAAATAAAAATAGTCCTTAAACCAACAAGCAGAGAAACAGAATATAAGATATAAAAAGTTTTAGCACTTTCGAGCTCAAAATGAAAAGGGGTTTTAAAACACTAGAACTAAGAAACTTTATTGCTTAATCAATTATCCAAAACAAAACACATGCTTGATGATGAACAAATTCAATTACTTATTTGCTCAAAAACACTTCAGTTTCTCTCACAACCAACAGCATTACAAGTTAAACTCAAAATTCGAATAGCCAAGTTCAACTCTGGAGTTTCCATTCCATACAAAGTCCATCATTGAGCTTCAAGACAAAAGCAAGGCAAGCAAATCATCATTATGAGAATGATTAATTCACAAATAATAGATAAATTTCTTTCAAAAAAACAAGAACTACAAATCAAAATAAGAAAAAAAATCAATACCCAACTTTCTACATTTTGCTTACTAGGTGCTCTTTTGCTCTTGGATTGTACTACCATGAGGATCAACAAACATCCTCTCAGCTTCTTTGTACAAGTGCAATTGATCAATGATTTTGTCTTGATCATTAGGATTTGGAATTAACTTTTCAATACAATCATATAACCCCCTCACAATCTCTTTATTTATTGCAGTGCTTGGGTCATTATAAAAGAATTAAGAGTTCAAAAAATGACCAGCAGCATGCAAAGGATGATGAAGCTGATTTTCCCATTTGTTATCTATAAGAGAAAATACATGCTTATACTTTTCTTCATTCCCATCAAAGGCCTTTTGAATGGCTTCCTTGGTCCTATCCATTAGTTCATAGATATAGCCCATTGCTAGTTTTTTTTCATTATCAAGTAGGTGATGAACACCCACTAAAGGACCCATAACTTTAAGGGCATACACAGTCTCATTCCAAAATGAGGGCATCAAGACAACATCAGTAACCCTCCTACCCTTAACTTCTTTGTAAAACTTGCTTTTCATCCACTCATTTGATGTGAACATCTTCCTAAGGTTTATCTTTTGCTTATGAACCCTTTCCAAAGTGAGATAGGTTGTAGCAAACCTTGTGACCCCATACCTAGCCAATTCTTTCTTTTTTGTGAAAGTTCTCATCAAACTTAAGGTATAGGTGTAGTTATATATAAACCTAACTAAAAAAATAGCTCTTTCTAACTCAACTAGAAAAATAGCTTTCTCTAACGTTCTTTTTACATTTGGCAGCTTCCTAATATCCTCCAAAATGAGATCTACACAATGTGCTGCACATGGAGTCTAAAACAAATGCTTTCTTTTAGCTTGTAGCAATTTGCCTGCCAAGACATAATTGCTACCATTGTCAGTGATCACTTGAATGACATTTTTCTCTCCAATCCTCTCCACAAAGGCATCAAGTAACTCATACAATCTATCCGCTATTTTCATGTAAGAAGATGCATCAACAAATTCTACAAATATTGTGCCTGTTGGACAGTTCACCAAAAAGTTAATTATACTTCTTTGTCTTTTATTTGTCCAAGCATCAAACATAATTGAGCAACCATACTTGGCCCATTTCTTCTTGTGATCCCCTAGCATATCATTTGTAAGCTGCAATCCCTTTTTCAACAATGGAACTCGCAACTGATGATAGCTACGAGGCTTTAAATTTGGACCAACCCCCAATAGCTTCCACCATATATTTGAAGCTAGCTAGACATGCTGCATTAAATGGGATCCCAGCTTGATAAAAAAATCTTGCTATATACTGGACTATCCCAGCTCTTGCTTCTAGATCACTATCCTTTATACTCGTTTGCCTCATTTTGCTTTCTTTTTGTCTTTAAACTATAGTTTTTGGTTTCATCAAATACAAATCCATCGAGCCTTTGGTTTTCTTTCCCCTACCTTGCATTCCAACCCCTGATTTTGCAGTTAACAACCGTTTACAACTTGCATTAAACTCAACCAACTCAACCTCATCCAAATCATCATCACCAATTTCACAATCTTCTAAATAATTGAACGTCTGAAAAGAACCTGAGGAGCCAGTGGATTTTTGAGACTTCTTCTCGTTGTAATAATTCCACAGCTCTTCTCGAACCTCTTGTGGGACTTTTGGACAAGCTGTAGCATTACCCAAATGTCCCATTTGATGTTGCTTTGCTCGATTGATTCCCCCAGTATTTGTTTTATTACAAAAATTGCAGGTAACATAATTGGATTTACGTGGATCCTTTAAAGAATTATATTTCCAACTAAGATCTTTCTTATTATTGGACTTAGACAAATTTGTTTCCATTTGCAAAAGGAAACACAACAAGTGCAGAAGCAGGGGAAAAAACAGAGCAAAAAAAGAAGAAGAAAGGAAGAACGTTGGAACTTGGAAGGAATGAGAGAATAAAACTTGAAGAAAGCAAAAAAGAAGCGAAGCAAATGCGAATCTTTCTTGTCATAGGATTGATCCTGAAGAAAGCATGCCATAGTGTCGAGCGACTGAATCACGATTTAGATCCAATTTTAAGTTTTTTAGGGTTTTATTGAGGGAAAAGAATGTTAAAGTACCATTTTACCCTTAAAATTAAAGGTTAAGTTGGATAATTTTTTCAAATTGAACAAAAAAAAAAAGGAAAAAGCCAACGCTTTGACCGCTTTGCGCTTTGGGTGCTTAAGTAGGGAAGCGAGCGCTTCACTCCCATTTCACTGAAGTTATTGAAGCACCAAAGGAGCAGACCGCTCCGCTTTACCCCTTAAGCGGTCAAAGCAGATGCTCTTGACAACACTATGTGTTATACTTATCTTAATCAGGAGATTCAAGATGGACTTTATTCTTCTAGCTGGCTACTTGAAACTTATACCAGTTGAGTTGATTTGGGCTTATCCAAGATCAATTCTAAACATCCATCCATCTCTGCTTCCAGCTTTTGGAGGCAAAGGTTATTATGATATGAAGGTGCATAAAGCAGTTATTGTTTCTGGAGCAAGGTACATTGCAAAAAGCCATATGTTTCACATGCTATTTTTCTCTTCCCTTTCTTTTACATATGTTTTATTGATTGCATACTTAAAGTTGACTTCTTTACAACTGAGCAAATCTTCTTGTGCTTGGTTAGATACTTAGGTCCAACAATTCATATTGTTGATGAGCATTATGACACTGGATGAATACTTGCTCAAAGAGTTGTCTTTGTGCTTGCCAATGACACTATAGAGGAATTGGCTGCTAGGGTTCTTAATGAGGTAAGGGAATTTGGTATAACCTTTCCCTTAACAAATTAGGACATTTCAAAATAGCCTCTAGAATCAAGCTTCTATGATGATAAACCTGTGTTTGTAATTAGATGGGGTTTGATATATTATCAAAAGAGAAAATTACCGATTATAAGATGCTTTGCAAACTGAGTTTTTTAATTGTTTACCACATGATTAAGACTAAGGAATGTGATGAAACAAAATTCTAGCTCTTATTAAGGTAGATAGTTTTAATGATGAAAGTGTTAAGCTTCTTTTTTGCATTGCCTCTGATACTTCTAAGATGGTGTGATGATTTAAATAAGAGCATTGGCTATATGTAGAGGTGATTGCTGCTTTGTGTAAGGACCGAATAGTTTGGAGAGAAGATGGTATTCCTTTCATCCAGAGCAAACACAATCCTAATGGCTATCGCTAACAGTGTAAGCATCCACTTTATATTGTGATATTATTTGATCTATAAAGCTGCTTTGCAAAAATTGTGTTTCTTTCTTTCTTTCTTTGAGAAAAGAATTTCCTATCAGTCATAAGCAGAATGCATACGTTATGTGACTCCTTTACCTTTTGCAAGCTGTATATTACAGAAGAATTCAGCATGCGCAATGGATTAACCTTTCACAAATCCCTTTTAAGTCCCTGTTTCTGCTCAGAGAAGATGTTGATCAATTTGCAAATCTTATAAGTACACATTCTTGGAGCATCTAAATTCATTTCGAGGAAATTTTGCCTTCCAGTTCTTGAAATGGTTGTTGCTCATATTTTTAACACAATTGTTTTAAATTTATGAAGACCAATTACAACTATACTATCAAAATGTCAATGATTAGTATCTCTCATGAAACAGCTGTGAGCCTAAAAGACACAAAGCTATCTTTTGATGCCCCAGATGATATCCCCATTCGTCTTTTGTTGCCCCAATGACAATGGTTTGATGGTAAAAGGTGATATGAATTATGTTGTAACTTGTAAGCACTTTACTGTTAATTTGATAAATAATTTCAATGGGTCTTACTCAACGTTAACACTACCTTACCTGATGGGTGATCTCTTTATGGATGAGAGGAGGTATAAGGTGATTTACTAAAACTATTCAGGTGAAAATTTTGAAGTTTTTTTTTTTTTTTTTTACTAACCTCCCTTAAACAAAAGTTATGTTGTAGTTGACTAATTCAAAATTGTATCATGTCAAACCTTATAAAAAAAAATTCTTAATACTTATTTTTTTATTTACAAAATTTAAAATCAAAATTTTATTTAAAGAGAAATGAATTTTTTTTATTTGAACTAATAGATTGTTGATAAAGTTTTTTGGTTTTATAATCCATATTATATTGAACTATAAAATAAAAATTGATAAAGAAAAAAATTACTTCTATTATCAAAATATTCCACTACTATCTATATTAATTTAAATTATATGGTTTAATTTTATTTAAAGAAAACTAAGTTCTTTTTTTTTTTGAACTAATAGATTGTTGATAAAGTTTTTTGGTTTTATAATCCATATTATATTGAACTATAAAATAAAAATTGATAAATAAAAAAATTACTTCCAATATCAAAATATTTACTACTATCTATATTAATTTGAATTATATAGTTTAGTGTAATTTACCTACACTCAGATATTAAAAAGCAAGATAAGAAAGCATTGTGGACATATTGTGTTTCATGGACCGATGGACCTAAGGCACACCCGATCACACTGTGAGGCCCAGATCACTCCCCCCAAAACCTTTCGCAGGGTTTTTCTTTTTCATTTTTTGGTTATATAAACCTAACCCCCAACCTCTCTGCCTTTGTCACCTGACTTCAAATTCTAGGGTTACGTTTTTGACAGATCTTCAATTTCAAATCTCTGTCGATCTCTTGTCTCGTTTTTTTTCTTATTATTAGTTTGATTTTCATGGAAGCTACATGTTCCAAGGGAAGGGTGAATGAGTCGATACCCTTGATCTTGTCTTGCCAAAGCGGCTGTAGCTAGATCGAACTGCGGAGAAGCTAACTGGCCGGTTGTCCTAAGAGATTTCCTGGAAATCTCCGTCGACTAATCTGCTTACCGAGCTTCTTACATTCATCTCCTCAGTTCAAGATGTGATTCTTTTTTTTCTTTTTTTTTTAACGATTTGTTGTTGTTGATGTTGTGGATGAGAAGGGGAGAGGAGAGGAAAATGGCATAGGATTTAGCCTTTTTTAAGAGACCCTTCTCTGACATCAAAATCGGTCACCTTCCGGGCAATCTGCTTTGATTTTCCGGTAGTTTGCGTCTATAGGTGACTATATTTCCTTTTTTTAGGAGTATTTTTTATGATGAAATATTTTTAGCTTTATGGGAATAAATCAGCAAAATATTTCAAACATTATTTTTAGATCAAGGAATAAGGAGTAATAGATTTATTTTAAATTTTTAATGGAAAATAGGAAGAAAAATTAGTGAGAATAAAAAAAAGGCTTTTATGAAAGAAGATAAAACAAACTGAAAACTGTTTTACATGATTGTACTCAGTTGGTTTTGTAAAATTAATTAAATTATTTTATAAAATTAATTAAATATTAAAATAATATAAAAATATTTAAATAATTTTATAAGATAAATTATATATAATTTATCTTGTAAAATAGTTTACTCAAATATGCGAAAATGAAGAATATTGTTATAACCAATCTGCCTTTCAAACCATTTTCAAACGAAAAATATGAATGTGGATTCCGAAATGGAAAATGGACAACACTAAAATGTCAAAATGTTTAATAATAATAATAGTTAAAATATAACAAATGTTTAATAATAGTTAAAATATAAGGAATTCGATAAAATTAGGGTTGATTGTATGTTTATATATACATCTAATAATTGTGATTGTATGATAAATGAGAAAAAGTATAAATAAAAATGTTAATTTTGTAATTTTTTTATTTAAAAATATTAATTTTATTAATTTTTAAATAAAAATTTTAATTTCTAATTTATTTTATTTAAAAATGTTAATCTTTTTTAAAAAGTTTATTTTTTAAATTAGTATCATCATTCAATTATTTTTTTAATAAAAAATTAAAAATTAATATTTTTAAATATAAAAGATTAAAAGTAAGTATTTTAAAAGATTAAAAGTAAGTATATTAAAAAAAATTAAAAATTAATATTTTTATTTAAAATTTTAAATAAAAAATTAAAAATTGATAAAATTAATATTTTTAAATAAGAATTACAAAGCTAACATCTTTATTTACTTATTTTTTCTATGATAAATTTATAAAATTTAATAAAATTAAGATTTATATATTTAACTATTATGATTAAATGTTTTAATTTTTTTAAATGAAAAATACTAATTTTGATTTTAAAAGTATTTCATGTTTATTTAAAAATATAACATAAAAAATGTTTATTTAAAAATATTATATTTAAATAATTGAAAATTAAAAACATTTATAAGTTTTTCACACGGCCATAAGATTTTTTTCTTTTATTAATGTACCTGTTTCACATGAACTTGTAAGCTTTGGATGTTATGATGATTTAGTTATATTATTTTTTATATGAAAAAGGGTATTATACTTTTAAAAAATTAAAATATATATTAACACTAAAGAGATGTTATTTTAATAAATTATTAAAAAAGTTAAAATAATGTGTCTTTATTAAAATTTTTCAAAATTTAATTAATAAATGTTAATTTTTATATAATATGATGTGATATTAAATAAATAAAAATATTTTTTATTTTAGATTGTATAATAATAAATAACTTTCTTTTATATATTTATTTATCTTACTTACATGTCTAATTTTAATTCATAACTTTTTACTTTTACTAAAATAAGATTATTACTAAGTTAATAGAATAAGTGAATTATTGATTTATACCTTTCTAAAGAGAATCAACCATACCATAATATGCAATATTAACCTCTAGTTATAAAGAAAAATATTGTAATTCCATAGTTTTTGATATACAATGCGAAATTTTCACTTAAGAACACCCCTAATTCAATGGGTTTTCAAATTTTCCACCAAAAATAAAAAATAAAAAACAAAAGGGTTTTCAAATTTCAAGGCCTCATTATAAGTACAATTCCATATGGAAAAAAAAGGGTATAATTTTGCATTCTCTCATATAATTACAGTAACGGTTATGTTTCTCCAAAATAAAAAGTAAGTGGAATACATTTCGATTTGTAAGTTGAGTCTCATATTCAATTTTTTTCGAATAGATATTAATCTAACGCTATATTTTTTATTATAAAAAAAAAATCTTGTTGAAAAAAAAAAAAAAAAAAAAGGAGGAAGAAGAAGAAGAAGAAGAAGAAGAGGGGAGGGTGTAATTCTCTCTTATCAACTCGTGTTCTAGGTTTGGGTCTACAAGGGAGCAGCACGTACAGAAAAAGTTGGCGTAGGCATCGACCTTTTACCCCTTGGGCTCGCCTCACGCTTAGGGCACAAGTGGCATAAATGCTTCTTTTAGCTGACTAACAAACACTTCCTTTTAGTGAAAGGATTTTTCTAAGCATCGACCTTTCACCCAATGGGTTCGCCTCCCGCTCAGGGCACAAGTGGCACAAATGCTTGTTTTGGCTGACTAACAAACACTTCCTTTTCTTGTCAAAAAAACAAACACTTCCTTTTAATGAGATAAAGGTTTAGGATTTTTTTATTATAAATTTATATAAAGAATATAAAAATAAATATTAATTTTAATATTATCATTATGTAAATAAATTTAATTAAATAATTAATAAATTATATATTATTTTTTATTTATTTAAATCTTTTAACTTGTATCTAAAAAGGTATAAGTTAGAAAAATCTTTATTAAAATTAGTATTATTGGGATATATTTATTTTTTAAAACAGAAGTATTATTAAAAATAAATAATAAATAAACTATATAAAAGAATATGATATTAAATAATTAATTTATAAATATTTTAATAAATTTAAGAGATTTGTTTAATATAGTAATAAAATTTTGTAAAATTAAGATTACTCTTATTAAACTTAATTTATTTGATTTAAAACATAATTAGTTCGAAAATTAAACTTAAAAATATTTTTTTCACATAAATATATAAAATAAAAAATAATTTCCACAAAAAATAGCCTCAAATAAAAAAGATAAAAAAAAAAAAGAAAACGATACAAGTAAAGTGTATTTATAACATAAAAAAAAATTATACAAAATTACATTAATGACCATTACTTATTTTAAAACTTTTGCCCACCAAAATGTTCTTAAAAATCAAAGTAATTATAAATTATTGTAAAATCAAACTCACTTTTAAAGAGAAAAAGAAACATAAAGAAAGAGAAAGGAAAAAGGTGGAGTTACTCCACTCTTTTTATTACTCTTAAGACTCTTTGACCTCTTTGGCCCCATTATTTTGAATCATGTATAAATAAATATTATTTGATAAATTAAATTTAAATTTTAAATTTTGAGTTAATATTTAAAAATTATTTTTTAAAATGTATTAAATTAATGTAAAAAATATATTTAAAATTATTTTAAAAATTTGAATTTAAAATACATAAAAATTAAATTTAAAATGCATAAAAATTAATTTAAAAATACAATAATAATAAATATATAAAAAATTCTCGACCTTTTTGACAAATTGGATAACGGGCGTCTAACTCATTGCTAGCTTTCATAGGTGATTATTATGGCTCATGGAATCCAAATCAAATTAATGCACATGCAGGGAGAGAATATGTCTTAAAAATAAGTATTTTTCAAGTCAAATTATATAATAAAAGTATGATTTAATTTATAAATTTATTAATATTTTATTAATAAAAAATTTTATGTTACAATGCTATTTTTATTTTAATAATTTTAGTGCTTGAATCATATTTTATTATATAATTTAACTTAAAAAACATGAATGTTATATGCTTCTATCTTATATAAAAAATAATAAATTTTTTTACCCGTAATTTTTGTGTAGTAAATTTATTTGATAAAAATTTTAATTATTGTTGTAAAAATTAATAAAATACCACTAAAAATAAATAAAAAATTCAAATAACTTATTTTAAAAGAAAAGGAGTGTCTCTGTAAACTAAGAGTGGAATAAATAATTTAAGACAGTCCTATAATAATACCATGTCTCAATTGCTTCTTATGAATGTTTGTTTGCAAATTTGAGTCATTATTAAGAAA